ACAGCGAGCAGCGGCGCCCGCGGCCGCTTTTCCCGCAGCCCGAGGGGAGGGGACGCGGTGGGTGGGACGACGGGGCGGGCCGCGGCTTTGCGCTTCCTGCCGCGGGCCTTTTTCTGGACCCTGCGCGGGAAGAGAGGCTGTGGGAAACCGCGGCTCGTATCTTGCAGCTCGCCTCTGCCCACAAGGATCCGCCGACCGGCCGGCCAGCAAGCGGAGGCCAGAGCCAGAAAGGGTCGTGGGAGCCCTTCCTGGTCCGAAGGTCCGCGCCCTGGCACTTGGCACGCTCCGAAAGTCCAGGAGTTTGTGGCCCCTCTCCTGACCCTCCGGAGGCATCCTCAAGGATTTCTCTTTCGCCTTAACTCCTGGGGTACTTTCCATCGGTACCAGGAGTTTCTTTCATTCACTCTTTCATTCATTTAATTGGCAAATATCTGTTGAATGTCTACTCTATGCAGCCTACCCATTTAGTCCTTTATTATCCACTTATGTCTTCTTAAAAGGAGCCCCGGTGCCGCAGTGGTTAAGCGCTGGGCTGCTAACTGAAAGGTCAGCCGGAACCCACCAGCCGCTCAATTGCTTCCTTAAAGATTACCTATGAGGCAGTTGTACTCTGTCCCATAGGATCATTATGAGTCGGAATCAACTCGAGGACAACGGGCTGAATGTTTTCTTGGATTAGTTTTGTTTCCGTAGACTGTAAGCTTCTTGAGGACAAGACCACACCCCAAGCTTGTGTAAGCAGTGATAGATCTAGAAAGGGCCTCTCTGCACAAATACTGTACGCTTGCGTATAGCAGGTGCCTGATTACCGTTTCAGGACACAGTCAGTGCACTGCCTCCAAACTCAAACTCACAGGTTTGAGAGCCTCATTGTATTTTCCTCACAGGCCTCCTGCCCACTACTCCGTAGACTCCTTCCTCTCGTCCCCTGGGTCTTCCCCAGAAAAAAAACCTCTGGAGGCTCAGAGCAGCACCGCTAGGGCTGTGAGCAAGAGAGGGGCCTCCCAGGGAGTGACTGGGAGCCGGGCAAGCTGCTGAAATGGGTGGTTCTGACGGTATGAGAACAAAGCCTGAGGGGCCGATGAGAGTGGGACAGAAAGTCTCTCGAGCTCCTGAGCCTCCCTAAGTTCTCTCAGGCTGCGGGCCCTCTCCCTAGATGCACAAGATCCCTTGACAACTGGCCCTGACTCATTTCTGCAGCCTTATCTCCCACAGCAGATCTAGAACATACTTATCATTCCCAAGTGCTATGCTTTCTGACTGATCTTCCTTCCTTTTTCCACCTGGAAAATTCCATCTAGCTTTCAAGACATTTCAGATATTATCTCTTCCTTGTAATCTTGTCCCATCACCCCCCACCCCTCCAGCCCCACCCTCTGCACTACCTCCCATAGCACTAAGATGCACCTTAATAGCAGCACACATAAGCAAAAGTGTCACTGGCCATTTGGGAGGGAATAGAGGCCCAGGTGGTTAAGAGCTCGGCAGCTAACCAAAAGGTCGGCAGTTCAAATCCACCAGCTGCTCCTTCGAAACCCTATGGGCAGTTCTACTCTGTCCTATAGGGTCACAATAAGTCAGAATTGACTCGAAGGCAACCGGTTTGGTTGGGTTGGGTTGGCTTGGTTAGAGGCCCCGGTAGCTGGGCTCCCTGACCTGGACTTTGAGACTCCAGCTCCATCTACCACCCCGGGTTACTGAGAACCCCTAGGCCAGAAGTCACTTCAACAGTGTTGGGAGTGTGGAAGCTAGAGATAGCTTGCAGCATCTGGAGAAATCTTAACAATGTGCAAATCTTTTTAAATCATTCTTTTGACATTTTATATCCTTTAAAATATCATTGTCCTGAAGCAAAATCCAGGTCAGCTTCCTGGTTACATCTCTGCCTAGCAGGTTGTATTGTAATTTGCTATTATTTATTTTAAATTGAGGTTAATTTTACATACAGTGAGAGGCACGAGCGGTATCTCGCCATAGGACATTTTATCACCCCAGAAAGTTCCCTTGAGTCCTCTTCCAGTCAATCTCCACCTCCATAGGCAATCACCGTTCCGATTTCCATCACCACAGATTAGTTTTGCCTGGTTTTGAACCACACATAAAATGGAATCATACACTATGGACTCTTTTGCGTCTGGTTTCTTTTGCTCAACAAAATGGTTTTGAGATTCACCATGTTGTTGCATTTGTCAGTGACTCATTCCTTTTTTGTTGTTACTGCGGTAAATATACGTATATGTAATAAAACATTAGCCATTTCAACAAATAGTATCCTTTTTCTTGCTGACATGCTCCCATTATTTGTTGAGCACTTTCTTACTTTCTGGCACAATAAGATGTTCCAGGCTCATCTTGCACTTTCCCCTTGGCATCAGCCATTTTTTTGCTAAACACTGGTTCCTTTTAGTGGACAGCAGTATTTAGAAACCAAGATATGAAGTTATTACTACTGAGGTGTGTAATAAAGAATCTGACTCCATTTTTTGATGTTTAACTGCTGACATCTTTTACGCCTCACCTCTCTCTCCTCTTCTGCCCCACACCTCGGCAAGCCGAAAGGAAAGCCCAAGCGCTCCCTCCTTTGGCATTGACAGGAAGTCCAAACCATGTGTGGGAACCCTTAGCCTAGTCCCAACTCCTAACCACCATAAAAACCCCAAGCTAGTTTCCTTTCCTTGCTCTCTCAAGCCATTTTCAGACCTCCTTGGGAATCACCCTACTGTCCCCCAGAAAGCCTCATTATGTTAGTACTAAACCTTTGCATAGCCTCTTGGTGTGGAGTCATCAGTCTTGACGTTTGAACCACATTTTGGATTAAGGTTCATTATGCTTCTGCAGGATGGCTACACAGGGTGTCATTGATTATAGAGCCTCTTAGTAGACAGAGCTGGGGGGAGATGGGAATACACACACACACACACACACACATTCATCATCTATATTTATTTCGATAGTTGTATATTAATACAGTGGTTAAGGTGCAGCTCTTAACCACTGTGCCACTAGGGCTCCTGTATGTACATATATATATATGTATGTGTGTGTGTGTGTGTGCGTGTGTGTGTGTGTGTAGCCCAGGCCCTAGCAAACATGCCAGCAAGTTCCCCACTCTGCTCCCAGCCTCAGCAACTGTATTAGTTTCCTATGGTTGCCATAGCAAAGTACAACAAATTGGGTGGCTTATAAGAACAGCAATTTATTTTCTTACAGTCCTGAAGGCTATGAGTCAGAGATCAGGGTGACAACTGGGCCATGATCTCCCTAGAGGCTCTAAGGGAAAAGCCTTTCTTGTCTCTCCCAGCTTCTGGTAGCTGCAGGCTTTCCTTGGCTTGCAGCTGTAGCATAACTCCACTGTCACGTTGCTGCCTTCCCTCTATATGCCTCTGTGTTTCTTCTCTTTTATAGGATGCACCCCACTGCAGTATGACCTCGTGTTAACTGGTAACATCTTCAAAGATCCTAACTCCAAACAAGGTCACAATCACAGGTACCAGGGGTTAGGAGTTCCTGCTGAACTCCCAGCCCTAGGGATGGGAAAGGAGCTAGTCCATTTACATTTAGTGTAATAATTGATAATGGAGCCCTGATGGTGCAGTGGTTAAGTGCTCAGCTGCTAACTGAAAGGTCAGTGGTTCGAACCCACCAGCTACTCAGTGGGAGAATGATGTGACAGTCTGCTTCCATAAAGATTACAGCCTTGAAAACCCTATGGGGCAGGTCTACTCTATCCTATGGGGTCACTATGAGTTGGAAGCAACTCAATAGCAGTCGGTTTGGTTTTTTTTCATACTGGCTTTTTAGCTGTACTTCTTCTTTGTGGTGTGTGTTGTGTGTTTGTGTATGCGTGTGTATGGTTTCTCTAGGGATTAAAATACACATCCTTGATTTATCATAATACTCTTTTTAGAATTAGTATTGTATCACTTCATGTAAAATGTAAGAACCTTAACAACAGAATAAGTCCATTGACAAAATCCTATCCTCTATGCTAGTATTGTCTGATATCTTACTACTAAATGCATTACAAACCCTACAATATAACATTTTTATTTTTGCTTTAAACAATTGCCTCCTAAAGAAGTTAAATAAGGGGATAAAAAGATAGCCTTTTAAATTTATCCTATTTACTATTTCTGCAGCTGCTGTTCTGAGATTCCATCTGGTATCATTTTCCTATAGCCTGAAGAACTTCTTTAACAATTCTTGTAATGAAATTCTACTGGCAACAAGTACGCTTAGCTTTCATTTTTGCTTCACCCTCATTTTTTATAGTATATCTTAGGTATCAGTTTCTAGGTTGACAAGGTTTTTTCTTTCAGTACTTTAAAGATGTTATTCTACTGTTTTCTGGTATCCATTGTTTTTGAGAAAATCAGTCATCATTTATATTCTTGTTTCCTGTCTTTTCTCGCTGACTTTTTTTTACTTTTAATTTTGAAATAATCTTACAGAAAAGTTACAAAATACTAAAGAAAGTTCCCTTATACCACTCATTCAGCTTCCCCTAACGTTAACATTTTATATTGATATATCATATGAAAGCTTTTTGGAATGTGAAAAGCACAGAGGAATATGTTCTCATTATTATTGTTATTTGTAGAGAGATTGTAGATCCTTTAGTGCAAACTCATTCCTCTAGTTAAGGAGACTAAGTATGGGGTAGCATATTGATTCAGAATCTTCTCCTCCTGCACATTTGGCAGAGGCTCTTCTTTTGTCCATTGAGACAGAGGAGATGATCCAGCTGCTCCTTTGGCTTTAAGGAGAATGAGCTTTTCAGATTCCACACTGGTTAAAAATGGTATAGTTTGGCATTTCTGGGCTCTGGGGAGCTTTCTAAGAAAGTACCTCTAGGTCTTTTTTTTATCAAGGTAGTTGTGGAAAGAAGAGC